ACGATCAGCCATATGATCTGAAATCCAAATAAGTTTTTATTTGTTTAAGCGCAGAGCTACACAATACGTTATCTATGGTGGGTTCGCCGCTGAAAACTAACCCCGAATTTTAGCATTCTAAGCCCTCAAGTTTACCACTAAGCCAACAGGAAACAAATGTGAACAATTTGTCGTTCAGCTTATGTTCGTAAAGGAACATTTGATATATGTGGTTTTAAAGTTTTACATTTCACGACAACACACGTCAATATGAACAGTGAGAGAGCAGACTGGCGTCGATGTTGCCTGTTTAAAATGAGAATGTACTGAGTTATCCCCGACCATTCCTTTGAAATAGCTTTTTGCGGGACATAGTTAACACGTGGTGTCATTTGATGGAATGTAACGCGTTTTTCAAGAGTAGCTCATAAATACTCGATGGGATCAAGCTAAATTAGCGTGAAGATCGCGCCAATCTGTAAATATTTTCTTCTTTATGGAATGTGTCGATTATTTTTTCAACGTGGGAGGATGGGCGTTATCAACCATTAAGTGGAAGTCAAGGTCAATTGCACCAGCATATAATAGCACAGAGAGTCAAAGGGTGTGGTCTGTATCGTGTGTAGCATTAAGGGCACCATTCAGTAGAATGTAGAAGTTGATAAGTTTATCAATACTTATCCCCTCTCACACTATACTTCCACCACTGCAATATGCGTCACGCTTCTGTGTAATAACGGAGTGTATCTGGTTCCAGATACCCTCCAAATGAAATGCGACTCATCTGTAAAATCAATACTGATCCACCTGCTGTTGGTCTAATGGACATATTATTAGCAGCATTGCAGGGGAGTTGTTCTCTGCATTATTACGCGTGAAATGTATCTCGCCTGGCGTGTAAAATAGAGGCTGACCTTGTAAAGTCTGTTTCGAAACATCTGCTTACTGGTAAGGCGTTCAGTTGTGTCTGCGAACATCTGATTCAGTCTCGAAACACGTAACCTACGAATGCGATGAGCCAGTATCGAGCAGTCATGTAACATACGTCTGTTAGTGTTGTATATGATAGTTACCAATGTTCAGGAGTCCGAAAAAACATACCATTGGTTTGAAAGTAATTACACATAGTTAACGACACTTTGAGACACTTGGAGCTAATTCATAAGTCTGCTGTATGTCAAGAATCATGAACACTTTAGAATACTTTGAACTCTGTCATTCACTTGAAAGTGT